TGTGTCATGGAACACGATGATGTCATCACTTCAACTGACATGCTCAGAGCAGCAGACTTCAGATAATGGTTAATGGTCCTGTCCTCAACAGCTCTACGTCAATTATGGGGTGTCATCATATGCCGTTTCCATGGAAACGCATCCCTCGCCATAAAACACGATGTTGCTGTAACTCCAATGGACACGGTCTGATCGTCCCCCAAACTTCGCTTGTATATCACCGGTCCATGCCTCAAATGCTCTACGCCAAATCTGAGATCTCACCATAGGCTGTTGCCATGGAAACGCATCCCTCGCCATAAAGCACGATGTTGTCGTGATACCTATGCAAATGGTCTAAAACAGCACCAGATTTCAGATAATGGTTAATGGTCCAGCCCTCAACATGTCTGTGCCATTAGTGAGTTTTCCTCAAAAGCTGTTGCCATGGCATCCCTTGCAATAAAACACGATATTGCTATAACTCCTATGAAAATGGTCAAAAAGTGCTAAAACTTCACATGTGTGCTAACAGTCCAGCCGTGAAGACATCTATGGGACAGTTTTGAGATTTCTTCAAATGCCGTTGACATGGCAACACAATGCTCGCCATGAAACACGGTTATCTCATAACTTCAGTGAAAATGCTGCAAACAGCCCAAAACTTCACAGGTTATGTAACGATGCAGCCATCAACATATCTAAGCGTATTATGGGGTGTCATCAAATACTGTTGCCATGGCGACAGATCATTCACCATCAAGTTAGTTCAATAGTTTGCAGTTCAAATATTCTGCTGCTTTTCCAAGCCTTTTTACTTTCTTTTCTTCTCTTATCACACATTCAAGCCCCCAGTGTTCATGTATCATTTCAATCTAAATTCTTCACTTTCTTCTTACACATTACATTTCAGCATAGCAATTCAGCGTCAGCTTTTCAGCATAAAGCATTCCCACTAGCAATTTCTTCAGGAATTGCATTCTCTAGTTCCTTTTGATATTCTTGACTTAATTCTCGTTTCTTTTAATTTTCTGTGTCCCTGCACTCTCATGCTCTTGTTTGGATTGGCGTTGCGTTTCCCTGCATACATGAAACAACTTTTTAATTTGCAGGGACGCTGTGATTTATTATGATAAGGTGCCAACAATCCTGCAGTTTAGGAAAAAGTCATGAATCTGACTTTTCCAAGGACCAATCCAGTGAACGAGGCCCTTTGAGCTGAAAGGCGCTAATGAGGCGTAAAACTGTGCGGAACGGCAGAACTGGGTGAAACTCGTGATCTGAAATCCCGTCGAGATCAAATGTGTGTCCCAGTCTTTAGGGAGTTAAATAAGGTCCCCACGAGCACACTGAAACGTACAGCTGTGTGTGAGTGTGTGAAAGAGAACGTCCTAACCTGAGCCATAATGAGAAGCCACAGGCCGAGTCATTAGTATCATCTCTCTGTGGAGCTGAAGGACGCAGCATGCACGGGGTTTCTGTTCAAGTCTTTAGAAAGGTGTTATATGTAATCCTCCACTTCCCTGAATTGACCGTTAAAGCAACAGTTTAGTGGAGGAAAACATACTCAGAATGTATAGTTAAAGGGGCCCTATTATGCCCATTTCTGGTTCCTATTTGAGCCTCTCTACTGTGACATGTATCTTTTATTTTTCTCATACTGCCTGCAGCACCTCTTTTCACCCTCTGTCTGAAACCAGAGCTGCTCTGATTGGTTAGCTGGCTGGCTCTGTTGTGATTGGTCAACCGCTTAGAGATGTCGCGCCCCTTAGCCTATCAAGTACAATGTGTTGGAGCGCAAGTATATCTTACTATGGTAAAAGTACAAAGTATAAGCATAACAATATACCTAAATCGACATATTTCAGAATCACATTCAAGAAATTATAATTATTGATGCATTGGAGTAACATGGAGTAACTAAAGCTTTCAGATACTGGTAAAGGCTGGCTTCCAAGATGTGGTGAAGTAGAAGCATAAAGGAGAATAAAATGAAAATACTCCGTTATTCAACATTGTATAATACATGAGTACATATACATGTTGACAACAATCGTCTCTCTGTTGATCTCCTCCAGCCACAGCTGCTACTCTCTCTTTCATCCTTTCTCTCTTCTTCAATGTAAACACAATCTGTCACGCTGTCAGAACGCCAGTTAACGCACATGGAGATGGACCTGTAAGTGAGCAGGAACATGTGGAGGAGTGATTGCTCTCTGCATGGCGACACAGTAAAGCGCTCGGTCACATATCGAGACTCGTGCTGTAACACCTCCTTCTTATGTAACATGTGAGGAAACTGTAATGAGGAGATGTTGGCCTGCAGGGAGATCGTTGGGGGGGGGGTGGAAGGTCAAATAACTCGAGAGGAAGTAACGTTTCTCCTGCTGTGACGATGAAAAGAGCTTTGAATATACTGCGTTTTAACATTTACACAAGTCCGCCATTTCTTTCCTGCATCTCCAAGGAACACAGTGCACTTGTGAGAGTGCATAAATAACTATAATTATTGCCGGTTTATTTTTAAATAACCAGCTTTGTCTTGTAAGTAAATAGAAAAAAGAGTTTGAAAAGCAACCCAGTCTCCCTAAGAGTCATGATTATACAATTCTGATACATTTTCCAATTATGTTCCACATGTAAAAAAGCACTTTGGTGAAAAGGTCAAGGAAAAGATTGTGTATTTGCTTAAATAATAATAATAATAATAATAAATAACACCTCCTTTCAATTTTTAAGAATTAAATACAAATCTTTCCCTCACCTTAAGTGGATACAAATGTAAACGTTGATCTTGCTTTTGTTGCTACAGGCAGAATGTTAAAGTAGAAAAATCAATCACTCATTTGATTTGTTTTTAATTATGTTGAATTAAATGCCAACTAAGGTGGAATTTGATCATTTTAAAACAGCATAAATACTTCTGCAGAATAATTAAATATAAACTTAATTTCTAGCAAACATGTCTTACATTAATTTACTTATGTTTATAAGTAAGTAGCAAAATAACTGGGTTTTCAGGCGGCTTTACGAGGGATACACGATCTTAATTAGTAGTACAGTATGAAAGGACTATTTATTTTGATACAGGTACAATTGTAATAGTTCAGCTTATTCAGCGCTCTTTTATAAATGTATCTGTACTGGTTTGCTTCGGACATTTTAATTATTTATTGAATCTTAGTGGACTGGACTGTATAGCGGTGCAAAATGAGCATTGAGGTTAAAGCTTGGGGTTTTTCTAAGTGACTGTTGCACAGCATTATAAATCAGCAGAATATTGGTTTATTATTATTATGTTCTGTACTATGGTCTGTCCCACTGTGGGACGATGTTTGACCCCGAGCCACTGCAAGCTGCTCCTGATTCAACAAGACACTGCGAGGCCATCTGTGTTGAGACTGCAGATCAGTGTGTGTGTGTGTGTGTGTGTGTGTGTGTGTGTGTGTGTGTGTGTGTGTGTGTGTGTGTGTGTGTGTGTGTGTGTGTGTGTGTGTGTGTGTGTGTGTGTGTGTGTGTGTGTGTGTGTGTGTGTGTGTGTGTGTGTGTGTGTGTGTGTGTGTGTGTGTGTGTGTGTAGTGAAGAATAAAAGAGAAATATATAAAAAACAAAGATTGAGGTCATCCAAAGGGATCAAATAGCTCCTAACTACATATTTTTATTTATATACATATTTCCAATATTAATTGTATTTTAACTATAAATCTAATAATAATAAAGAAAAATCTGAACATTTTCAAACTTATTTGTATTTTTTATATTGAAGTTATTTTAAATGTTTTTTTTAAATATTTACTTTAAATATAATCTTTATAGCATAGCAATGTACATACATTTAAATGTGGGTTCAGTTGAAATTATTTGCATTTCAGTTTTATGATTATTGTATTTGAATCTATTTCATGTTTATTCAATTTAACCACTAATAAAGTGTACCTGCCTCGCTCTGAAACGACAGATCATTGGAGTTAATTCTGTTCAGAGAAAAAGTTTCCAAACTGTATTAATTTAAATATTTAGCAGCTTTAAAACACCATCTCTATCCAAATCTGACAAAAGCGGCTAAAATATCAAAAAAATGTCACTGAGAAGATATGAATACCAAAAACGGTCTCATCATGCTTCCCAAATGTCACATTCCTTCTGAAAGTCACTGTTTCCCTTCTCCTCTGTTACATCACCATCACTCTCCTCACAATGCCGCGCTGTCCTCTCCTCCTCCTGAGCTCCATCACCTCCGTCTCTGCCTCTCTGCAGACACTTCCTGCATGATGATTCAACTGCCACTTTAACGGGAAAACACCCTGGTGGATTTCCAAACATATTTTCCTCCGTGAAGCCTCAATTAACAACTTCTTCTCACAATGAACGCTCTCATAAAAGTCCTCATTCAAAGCAAGACCATGTCCCTTTGGAGGGTGGGATCAACACATTCTACATCTTGTGAGAGTGGAATTTCATAAGCAACAAAAACACACCACACTAAGTGAAAAATACCCAGAATGCACTGCAAGTTATTGGAAAATGAAGCATGAATCTCACTTTTTCTTAACCACAAAAAAGGATCTTCTCTGTCTTTGCTATTTTTGTATCGGCTGCTAAATGTTTACAGCTGTTTTAAGGAGCCTGTTGAAAGGGATTCTGGGGAATGTAGTGCAGGCGTCACCACATTCCATACTGTATATTGTTTTCAGGCTTCTCAAATGCTATCAATTAGCATGTTAGCTGCACTTTAAGTCACTCGGTAACTCTTTTAAGAATTTTCCGCTAGCCATTAGGATGGTTCGTTTTGAGTAATACTATCTTAAATGTTACGTTTAAATATGCAAACTAGGCATTTACTTATTAAATATCCTCAGATTTTTGGACACCAATCAATACTGGATACATTTTGGGAGTTTTTTGCAATTTTATGACTAAATGTGTAAATGAGGCATTATTAAATGTTACATTTTGGGTGTGTGCCCTTTTCTAGTCTTTCTCGTGATATCCGAGCACTCACCGCTGATCCACGTGGCCTCGGGGTTGTGGACGCTGAACTCTGGTTTGTACAGATCCGCCGCAGTCAGCCTGGACTTGTTGTTTCCGGGGAGCTCAGCTAAGAGAAAACAGCGTCAAGTCAGACCCGGTCTATTTCTTACAGCTTTAGGACAAACAAGGGAGTAAATAAATAGCAGTAGATTAGCGAGCATACCGGGCGTGAGGACGACCACGGACATGGTGATGAGCGAGCACACGGCCACGATCACCAGCAGAGAGATGGCGATGCCCTTCCAGTTCCTCTGCTGAGGGCTGACATCCACAAACTCCTGCACACACACACAGAGAAGAAGAACTCAGAAGCAATGACATTTTAGAAAACTCGTATATTCCTACTTAAGGATTAACACCATTTTAAGAAAGCAGCTTCATAAAAAGATATTTGCTTGTGTAATGAACTTTTACAGTCAATATTTATTGACGCATACCTGTAATCCTGTTATACTTCTCCCCAGCGACCCAAAAAGAGCCGTCTGTGAAACATTTTTAAAGATTCTGATAATATGTGAAGAAAAATAACAAATAAGAAAACAGTAAAAGACCATTATTTTCTATTATCTGAAAAACTGAAATGTTTCGAGGCGATATTTCCTGTTTTTATGGGAGGAACACTTGTTAGCAGCCGTCTCCAGGAGCCGCTGCCAGATGAATTGATTTTGCAGTCCAGCTCTTATATTGAACCGTGAAAGGAGAAAGTATTTCCTCTCACCCTGTCGATACAGAGCGATGATTACCCACCAAAAACAGCCGTCAGAGTATAAAGCTTTTTGAAAGAAGACATGACCCTGACTTTTTTTTTGTTTTTACAGCCTTAGCTGAAGCTCTAAGACGTCAAAATCTGTAACCTTTTTTTAAACCTGATGACATTTCTGACCCGGGCTACATCATTTCTCCAGACTTTCCACTCTAGTCTCAGGATGATGAAAGCTACCTGCAGATTTTTCCAAAAAGTGAAAATGACGCAAGGGGGGGGGGGGTGGATTTTGGTTCAACCCCAGGATTTAGCGAGAAACCGAGCGTGGTCGAGGTTTCCAGCAGCGAAACTGCGGGGAATTGAAATAGGTAGCTGTCACATGGAGTTAAATTCACCATTCTTCAGCGCTTGAGAATAACACAGAGTGATGCATCAAAGGAGAGAGTGTGAAGCCTCTCACACACACACACTCTGTCAGATGTAAAGTGACTTCAGCAGAACCACTTGTTCCCTCTGTTACACTTCCACAGAGAGGTGAGCCAGAAACACATGTTGCAGGATTTGTCATAGATAGTAGAAAAATGCACAAAGAGACGGATATTTCCTGACTTTGATTGGAAGCCATTTCCAAACAAACAAAACCTAGGAAACCTTGATTTTGTCACTGGATTTCAAATAGTGTGGTTTGTCTGTTTCTCATCAGGATTACAGAAAAGCTACTGCCATGAAATTCAGGAAATTGGTGAGATCGTTGTAGCATGAACCAAGGAAGAACCTATTTAAATTGGGAAGTGGATGGGTACACACATCATTTTGTAAATATTTAAAGTTATGTTGTCTCTTGTCTTTTGTATCAGTGCATTCTGAGCCATGTGTAAGATAAGACATGCCCTATATGTAATTATGACATATAGTAGGAAGAAAGGTGTAGTAATATTAAAAACAATCAAATCCATCTGATTAAGGAAGAAGAATACATTTAAGATTATCACCCAAAATGAGTCCTTTTTTAAAACGTCAAAGTTGACTTATTTTTATTTAAACGTCCGTAACTTTTATACATTCTTACATATCCAAATCTTGTACCATTTCACATACTCTTTTTCATTTTCTAAACCCAAAGTATGACATTTTTCTAAGCCTAACCAAGACGTTTTGTTGCTATTAAATAACCAAGTAGTTCTCTTTAACCACATGACATTATTATATATTGTATTTCATTTTGGGAGTTATTGACATGTTCTTTTGTTCATGTATGCCGGCGGAGGTTTGCGTTCTTCTGGTGCCCTTTCTATTGGCATTTAATCTGTTCAATCTAAATATAGTGCTATGCAGTAACTGTGTTCTGTCTTTGAAACAGCCTGAATCCTTTTGGTTTCAAAGATACTGAAAATGTAGATTATGACTATACATTAAGTTCACCATCCTTCTTACACTACTGATTTCAGTGTCATTATAATAATTGAGATAAGAGGTTCAGATGCTTCCAGAAGAAGGAGGATAAGGAGATAAGGAGGAATCTGTTTTAAATAATTGAAGTAGGAGGGGGGTGTACAAAGAAAGCCCTAACCTGTGTGTGTGTGTGTGTGTGTGTGTGTGTGTGTGTGTGTGTGTGTGTGTGTGTGTGTGTGTGTGTGTGTGTGTGTGTGTGTGTGTGTGTGTGTGTGTGTGTGTGTGTGTGTGTGTGTGTGTGTGTGTGTGTGTGTGTGTGTGTGTGTGTGTGTGTGTGTGTGTGTGGGGCAGACACATTTCCCTGCAACACCGAAGCAAACTATGAAATCAACTGTGTTTTTCAGAAAGGTTTCTACTTGACCAATCACATGCATATTGATGACTATAAATGACATTGATAAGCTACATAAAGATGGCTGTCAATGGTCCATGGCAACACAAAAGATGAAGGACGTTCTATTGTACAGCATAAACATCTCCAAACCTGTTTATACCGATGTAACCTCGGTTTAAAAACACTCAAAGTCTCAACAGTTTGACTGAATATCATGTCTTATAAAAGTATGAAACTGAGAAAAATATGTACTTAAATACAGAAAAAACAGTAAAGAAGGAGGTACAAAATAACATTGTCCATTTGCTTAATCAGGAACAATTGAGAGTTATAATATTTCTCAGTTGGATTAAACTATGCAACACTGTTGATACATGTATATTAAACTATTCCATCACTGACAAAATAAACAACAACAGCTGATTCCTGAAGGAAGAAACAGCAACTATAGCAAGTGGAAACTACTGAGCTAACTCCTGTTACTCAAGTTATGAAACTCACTCCATTTACAAGACATTTACCATGCAGTGTTGGAAAACGCTTCAAATAGTAGTCTCTGTGTAAACTGCGTGCATGGAGCCAGAATTCATCTATAATTAATATGAAAACGCACTAAGCTAGAAAAATGATTTTACTCCACCATTATGTGTATTTTTAATAATCTCCCTATAATGATCGCATTATAAGCGATCACCAACAGCAGCGAAACGCATCTAGTTTCCCCCCAACATGTATCTCCTCACAGCTGAGTAAATAACAATACACGCATTTCGCGGTGTGTGTCGGGATACCTCATCCTGCGACTCCTTCGCCTTCTTCTTGCTTGGGTCTTCTTTAGAAGCAGTCATTGTACCGGAGCCCCGGAGCTTCTCCTCCCGGTAATAACATCCAAACCTGTCCGCGCGTCAATTTAGCAGCATGAGCATGAAGCTGCAATCAGTGCAGCAGGGACTTCACTTCCGGTGCTGACTTTCAAAATAGTCCCATTGTTTTTTTTTTGTAAAACAACCGCTTAGTTATTTCTTTAGATCTAATAAGAGGTGGTGGGAGTAATACTCAGATCTTATATTTGAGTAAAAGTAGAAGTACCAGAGTGTAGGAATACTCTGTTACAGTAAAAGTCCTGCATTCAAAATGTTACTATAGTAAAAGTAGAAAAGTATTAGCATCAAAATATACTTAAAGTACCAAAAGTAGAAGTAGTCATTCTGCAGATTGGTGCATTTCAGAATAATATATAAGATCTGATTATAATTATCAGCTTTGATATTTCTTTTGAAATATGCTTGTATTCTTGTAATGAATGCAAACATCTGGTGTCACTTCATATGTTTCTGTCTACAATGTTTTTAAGCTGTAAAAAACATATACGGAACTAGCTACCTGATTTTCATAAAATGTCATTTATGATTAAACAAGAAAAGTAATACTTATCCGGTGTCACTTTGTATATTTCAGGATAATTTCAAGAGGTTTACATCGATATAATGCACTACAAATGTGACTTCTTATCAGACACCAAACAATCGATTTTTACAAGTCTACAATAGTTTGTTGATTACATGTTACTTGTTAGATGCTTTTATCCAAAGCGACTTACATACTCAATACTGTGGGCAATCCCCACAGGAGCAATTTGGGGTGAAGTGTCTCAGGGACACAACGACATGCTGACTGCAGTGGGGTTTGAACCTGTGACCCCCTGATCCGAATACCTACGCACATCCACTGCGCCACACGCCTGATTCCTAACATTTTTTAAATTGACATTTAAAAAACGACAGGCTTTTATGTTGAAAACCAATGTAAACATCCGGTGTTACTACACACATTTCTAGCTAACTTCAGAAAGTCTATTTTTTCTTCTCTCTACAAATAGAATCATGATTAATGGAGTATCGGCTGTGTCGCTGTCCATGGTGCTGAAACGGTCCCTGTCTCTTTGAATGTAGCCTGCAGGTGCTGAGCACTGAAATGAATTTAGACACTGCAGGAGAATTGGGGAACATGTGCAGCTGATATATCTCAACATAAAACTTCCCCAGCAGACTACTTGCATTCGGATGATTCGTTTTTGTATTACAAGTTATCTCAAATGTTTAAATATGCAAATTAGGCATAATCATATTAAATATCCTCACGTTTTTGGACACAAATCTGAATAGATATTTGACGTGTGGGAGGCATTATGAAATGTTGTATTTTGTGTGGCCTTAGGAGAAATCTACTGACACAAATATCAATAGTTGTTAGAATCACCACCATGTGTATATTATACTTTAATAATACTATTTTTTTTGTTTTTCTGTGTTATTGTGTTGCACTGTTGGAGGAGCCTGTGATTTAAGATTTTCATCGTCATAACTACACTGTAGCTATGACTAATACAAGCCTTGAACCTTGATGGGACTTTTTTTGTTACACTATTCTGAAAGAAGCCATGCTATATAAGCAAATATCTCACTTTAAAGTATAGGCAAGAACTAATAAGGTATTTTAATTAAGTAAAGCCCTGGATTCAAAATGGTCTAACACTGGATTAATCATTGATGTATTCATCATTTTAATGTTGCTGATGCTGAAAGTGGAGCTCATTTGAATGACTTCATATACTGCTGGGTAGCTTTGTGAATGTCTCCTGGGGATCAATAAAGTTTTACCTTCGTCTATTATAAAACCTCATAATGAAACCATCACATTTTAAGTCCCTTATTAATTAAAGCTGCAACAGGAAATGAACACATGTTGAAATCACTCATTACTTTAGTTTATAATTAAACCAAAATCAT